TGATCGCTAGGTTGGTTGGTTGGTCTATCGGTATGCCAGCGAAAGTGACTGCAATTTGCTTTTACATTTCTTTCGCTCACTGAATTTGTGCGATACCCATTTGTGCGCATACACAGCAATTATTTATCGTTTTTACTATGCATTTTCTTGCTTGTGTTTTTCTTATTTCTTTTTTGTTTTTTTTTATTTTTATTTTCTTTTATTTTTAATTTGCTGCCTTTGAATGTTGAGCTGAACAGTGATTTATGAAAATATGCAATTTGATTGGATTTACTTGATTGTAAGCGAGTACACATTTTTCATGTATAAATATAAATATATATGTATGCATATACTATTTAATAGTTTTCATCTCAATCTTTCAAAATGTTATAAGAAAAAGCTCATTAATATAGAAAATGCTAAGAAATTTTACAACTCTCAAATTAATTTCCACATAAGCCAGACATAATTAAAAGAAAACAAAAACAAAACTAAAAAAAGAAAATACGAAATTAATTGAACTTACTTTAGGTGTACAAAGAAGAGTTGAAATCATGCTAATGCGAAGCAAAGCATAAATCAATATTTTGAAAAGCTCTTGGTGTCAGAAAACATTTGTCTTTAGCGATCTGTATATGGCATTCTATAACAGCGATTGAGGTGTCACTACAAAGACGATATTTTCTGCTATAAAACAATTAAGGAGCGGAGTGTCGATGGCTTAACTCAGTAGGGTTTGAGCGCATGTCAAAGATGGGCAGAAAGTACACTGCGATAAAGGCGGAAACGTAAGTGAGGCAGCTGAAAATGTAAAAAGTGCTTATTTCCTGATAGCGTAACGGTCACAACCGCCGAGTCTGGCCAACATGTGAGCCTTGCTTTGATTGCACAAGAGCTTAGTATTGCACAAAAAAAAAAAACGGTTTAGAACCATTTGAAAAAGGCTAGATCCATGAAAGAGCTCCATTTACGGACGCCACTTGATTTGATGAGAAAAAACTTCATGGTCCGAATGTCTAACTGGACTCACTCGAGCCATTTCTGAAGCAGATGATTACTGATGATGAAAAGTGTATCACATATAGTCAAAGAACAGTGAGCCCTCGAAACGGTCTATAAGCCGGGATTTCCGCCCAGAAAGGTTTTGTTGTGTGTTTGGTGGAATCGACAAGGGATCTCCTACTATGAGCTACTCACCCACGTGCCTCTGTACTATCAACAATTGGATCGTTTGAAGAAAATAATCACCCAGAAGCGTACTCAAGAGAGGCCTGTGAAAATTGGTTTTCCTAATCTTTTGCCTTCGGAATGGCCAAATGTTATAGAGCAAAACGGTGCATATTTGCCATAAATCGAAGAATTGCAACTTTAATAAATAAAGCCTAGAACTTGAGGCAAAAATAATAATTACTTTTTACTAAATCAAAATTTATTCTTCAATTTTTATTTTGTTCCCTTCTGGAACTACTTTCCCACAACCTTTTTCCAATCCCCGAAGCTGTTTAAATATTCGTTTTGTGGTAAGTCGTTGAACCCTTTCAGTGATTCGGTTTTTTCTTCACAAATCAACGCGATTTGCCCTCTTTTCATTTGTCTCTCTTTTTTTCAAACATGGAAGCGGCTATAAATGACATGGCTCGTACAAGAGGGGTAGGGGTTATTTTACAAAAATGAAACATTATCAAGCTCTTAAATTAAAATACATGAAATGAAAGAAGTGTAAAATAAAACCACTTTCCATCAGGGTGAATAGGGGAGGCTCACAAAAAAGGCCACGACGTGCTAAATTAATGGAGGGAGGTGTTCCGGAAGTCCTAAAATATGATGGTGGCTTGGCTTATAGACAATCCTGTTGCCGGGAATCAAATGTGACTGATTCAAGATCATTACTGACTTCGATAAACAGTTCCTTGGCTATGCTTTAAGCAGATTTTTTGGAATTAACTAAACTATAAAAAGTTCTTTATAAAAATCTATTAGCCGCTGGGAGACTATGAGCCATCGGAGAAGCTCGATCGCTGTTAGAAACTTCCCTCTATCTATCTTGATCCCAGTGCTAAAGTTTATCATACATAACGTGCATTATTTTGATTGAAACACAAGCAAGAAAGACTTGTAGTTAAGATGATTCGTAGACCCGTGTTGGATTTTTTTGACACATAAATAGAACTCGCTGCCATATCTATTAATTAAGACCGAGATTTATCAACCACTCCTTAAGTATTCAATTCTCAGTTCACAGATCAGTCATAAATAGAGGTTACGTTATGCGTAGGGTAGCTGTGCATATTAACCAATTTGCCTAACCCTACGAACTTGATTAGAGTTTTGTAGATTAATGCGCCCCTATCCTAATCGTGTTCATACTTGAATATGGAAATTATATATATAAGGTTTTATCGATTTTTTTTCCTCTCGTTTCAAATGTACATGCTGCTCCGCCAAACCCTCATATCATCTCATCAAATGTGCATTTGGTTGCTGAGCCAGCACGATTTTTGCACCTTTCAATTAGAAATACCAATTTGGTCCGATTTCATCCATTTGCAATGGCGTCCATACCTATGACCCAATGAAGGTGTGGACCAAGTTTCAATTCAAAAACTCATTCCTTCCTTGAGTATCATGCTCACAGACAGACAGACAGATATAATTAAATGGACCAGTTTTGACTGTCAATCAAGCCAGTTGTAACATATATATGTATGTATATCTGTTTCGATTATTTTATAACGCAACTTACAACCGTTAGCTGAACATTTGAAGCAAGTTTTAGTAATTTTACTTATTTTGCCGGAATTAAAATAACTAAAATACTAAACGAGCTACACTCCATATAAGTTTTGCCTCCAAGTTTGCTCTGAAACTATTTTCTATCTTGGTCTATATACGAGTACGTGGTAGACATAGCAATTATAGCCGAGCTAACAGCAACCCAAATTGGAAATACTACGTCATGTTATTCTCCACTTGGTCTTTCAAAAGTAAAAATCTGGTCAATAGTGAATTTACCACTTCTAAAGCCAAGTTAAGGTTAAAGTTCAGAACCTTTCACACGCTAGATAGGACCTTATATGCGGGAGCTGAAAGCCCGTGTGGTTAGGCAATAGGATGGAAAGGTTTCCAGATAGGAGATCTGGTGATGTTTTAAGACCCTTACTGAGGGAAAGTATGGACTTCGAGATTACAGAGCGATTGAGAAGGTCGAACTTTTAAAAAGTATCTACTAGATGTTACTTTCGAGTAATTTGTAGCTATACAAAAGGAAGGCGCATTCAATTTATTTAAGGTTGAAACATCATCTGATAGTGGGCTCAAACCATTCACACGCTAGATAGTACCTTATATGCCACATTGACCACATTGAGGAGGCTTATCTGTGGAATCTCACACTTGGAATCTGGCGGATTTGGTAGAGTTTAGTTTTCAATCGCTTGGCATGCTTTCCTCCGATTATATTTTGCAAAGAAGGTGATGCATTTCCCACCCGCTTTATTATTTTTCATGCGAATAATTGCTTTGCGAGATTTTTCAGAGTCGGGCAATGAAGCATCAGTTCCATCGTCAATGATCTCTAGATCCAGCAAGAGTTTGCTCCGGTCTTGAAACCTTCTGTAAATCGAGACGTTTATTTCCTAGAATTTTCTTGCATTTTCCAAATCGGTCATGCTCAGGTCTAGCTCTTCGTTTCAAGTATCTTGGCCACTTTCTTTTGTTTTCAGTGTACGCACGTGCTTCTTGCTTTCCTGTTACATTCTCGGTATCTATCCCATCTCACTGCGACATGGAAATCCTCTTCTCTAGTCATTGCATAGTTTCAGGCGCCAACTTTATATTTCATACCATAATTTGGACTTCTCAAACTCCCAATGAATTTACAATTCGCTCATCAAAAACAATTAGGCTTTGTTCTTTCTAATCTTCGTATAAAAAATTGTGATAACTGATTTTTCTTCATTGCACTGTCACAGTTGAATTTTTTCCTATCGAAGGCACTACACGGGGTTCAGTAGAATTCTCTCCATAGTAAAAAAAAACATGTTTCTTTTCCTCTCTGGAAGCTAATGTTAAGGTAACATTTGAAATAATCTTATTTTTGCTAATGATGCACCATTTGTCAAGACGCAAAACCGCAAATAGGAGGATGAGCTTGGCCGAAAATCGCTTCAACGGTTACAAAAAGCGCAAATTATGTATATATATATATATGTATATATATGTATATATATATATACAGCCCTTAATGCCGGCCGAGATCCTCCTGCAAATTGTGAAGAGTTTCTTAATTTATTTTTTTCTATCAAGTGGAGAGACCTACAGTTCTAAGTGAGCTCCGAAAGGCCGATGTATTTTAAGAGAAGTTTTTATTTTATGTCGGAAATGGATTTGGATCGCTAGGTATTCCCTATCCACAGGCGATCGCTACTACATAAATTAATATTCTATAATTTTGGAAGTTGTTCGGACCGGAACTGTAACGCTGGTCTCGGTTATTGCGGCCGAAAATCCCTTTAGCGGTTACAAGGCGACCCTAGAATATTATTTGCCCAGCATGGCATTAAAACAAAGTTCAAAAACCCTTGTTGAAACTTTTTTTACAGATTTTTTTTTTGTCTCTTTAGCAGTGTACGAAAATGTCACTTAATTTAATTCTTTTAAATTTCCTTGTTAAATATCCCAAACGAGTATCTCCGCGTCGCCAGCAAATATTCATTATTTTCCCATACATCGACATGTATAAATATGTATGTAAAAGAATATTTTCTAGCTTGCGGCAGTAGCTAATTTACCTTACGCTGTGTTTTCGCCTGCCGAAAAGAATATTCTTTCTACTTCTGCGCCTTTGTATATAAAATGTCTTTACTCTGTGTGTGTGTGTATATGTAACTCATCTTATAGCAAGTGGCACTCCTTACAGCTCTCACCACTCTTTTCATCAGCATAATAACTAATTTTCTCTGTGCATAACTTTCATTTAATTTTCTTTTGTATTTCATGGAACTTTTATTCATTTGCAGGTTCCTAATATGCCACTGAAAATGCCAACGCACGACGAAAATGGCTGCATCACCACTACAACCGCAAACACTAACACCAATGCGAATGCTAATACACCCGCCTCAATAGCGGCAACAGCGACGTCGAATACATATCGTTCGACATCAACATCTGTTGCTACAAGCCAAGCCATGGCGTCTACTGGCAATGTGGTGGGTGATGGTGATGGACGTGAAGGAGCAGCCGCGACACATGCGTCGTCATCCTTAGCGCTGTTCTCATCGCTGCCGTCGTCACAGTCGCAGTTGTCTTCGTCAGCGGCGTTGGGGTCGTTACCATCATCATCATCATCAGCATCCTTGGCATGTTTGCATCAGCAACGTTTGCTCGAAACGCGGCAATTACATGCACAGCCAGTGGATGTGCTGTCGTCTTCGTCGTCGTCGTCTTCATCGTCGTTGTCGTCGTCGTCATACTCATCGTCGTCCTCATCATCAACAGCGTTAGCGTCAGCTTCAATGGCGACAACAAAAGGTAAGTTTTAGTTTATAACGGTGATTTTTCTACGTTACTGTTTACAAATGTAGCTGCCTTTATATGTAACTATGTCTATACATATGATTATATTTGTTCATTGTTCATTGTACATACCATGAATTTTTCAAAGGCACTTGGAAAAAGGTTTTAAAAATATTCTTGGTAGCTCCGAATTAGTTTTCTAAAAAAAAAAATTACGAAAAAGTAAATGAAGCCTAAGATATTTATATCAAAAATTCTCCTTATTGTTCTTACATACTTCAGACCAAAGTTAGTATATCATTTCATCTTCATCTTGAAATGGCCGGCAGGGGAATTGCTTGAAAAGAACTTACTCATGAAAGAATTAACCAAGACGGCAGTGAGCTCCCCATTGACTTACAGAGAAAGCTGAACAAGCCCGGTTATTCGAACCTCAGTGTGAAATGTTCAATCTATTAAAAACTTAAATACACAGTATGCATCACTTATGGTGGGTTAAACTTCCTCTATACCGCGTAGATGACTCGACATTTCCACCTCTTGGTCGAGTTGAAAGCTGTCTTTCTTAGAACAATAAGGAGCTGCCTCTATATAATTGGCACTTTGTAACCGCTGAAGCGATTTTTCGTCCGAGCTCGTTCTCCAATTTTTGTTTTTTGCTTCTTGTTGTTTTCCCAACAAATGGAAGGAGCTACAGTTTATACTAAGCCTCTTCCGAAACGGCTGATGGGTTTTTTATGAGGAGTTTTTATTTCATGCCCGAAATAAAATCAGAGGGGTGGACATTCCCTGCCGAGGGGTGAACGCAATTAGAAAATTTCACTTAATTTATTATTTAAATTAATTTTCCATAACTTTTGGGTGTTGGTGGCACCGGGCTATGAGCCCGGGCCTTCCGAATGTCAGTATGCAAGGCTAATCACTCGGCTACCGCGGCCGCCTCTATGAAACTATGTTTGACATTGAGGAACCCCAAACGAGCATTCAGAATAACCTAACCGGTTCGTTCGATAGTAAACGAGATATCATACACGGTAACTCCTTATCGTGTGACTTCTTTAACTTAATAGCCTAACCGAGAGATTGCGAGAGATTTTACTTTTTACTGAAAAGTGAAATCCTCTCTCGAGAGAAAAAACTCTAAAATTCGCTCATCCGATTTGGCTTGGGGAGTTTTGAAAAGAAAAGTTTTGCGTAAGACTTAAAGGCCCCTGCTCTTTGCGGAGTGGAGTGGTTAGCGTTGCTTACTAACATTCAAAAGAGCAGGGTTCGAGTCCAAGTTCAACCAACAACCCACTTTAAAAGTATTCGATGTAGCAGCCACCGGTAAAAGCACACTGTCGATAGGATTAGATGAAGAAGGATATGGCTTCACTTAGTGTCTCTAAACGCCACCGAACGCCGAAGAGTGTTAACGATGAGCGCGCTATTCTTGATACAGCCATAATCGCGTGAAAACCAATGGAGAAGAATAATCTTAACTAATTCCTACGCGGTAGGGGTTCAGGCGACTAAAACCTAAAAGTTCTCGCAACCATCGGGTCTTTATACTCAGTTTTTTATCCCGCGTCCACGGGAGAACCGATTTCTTTTTAAGAATGAGATCTAGAAGAGCAAAGCAAAAACTATGGTCTTTTGAAGTACATACGGTTCTATATTGTAACTAATTTCTGTGAAAGCGGCACCCTTTTTTTAAAGATTGATTTTTGTCAAAAAATATACAGAAAAAAAATCAAACAGAAGGTTTAAAACTAATCGAAAAACGGTTGCGTAGTTCCAAGGAAAATTTATTTTTGAAGCTACCATCAAAAGTTCTGATAAATCGCTGCAATAGGGTCCGAATAATCTGTCCTCCCACTTTGAGAAATGGGGTTTTGAGAAAAACGAGTTCTCACAATAAATGTTCGTTTGTGTGAATCTTACCTTGTCGATTTTCTTTTTGTGTTCATCTTAATCGAAAAAGACACGGAAATGTATAAAACTGACTGAAGCATTTATTGAACTATTGTGTGTGTGTGTGTGTGTGACCATCGAATAACATACACTCACACCGAATCGATTTCGCCAAATATATATCATTTTAATTACTTTTTGCCATTTTTCTTTACTCTTTATACCCACTAAAATGTGCATGCGCCTTGAAGTATGCAATATTCTTTTACAGCTAACAGTTTTTATGCTTCGATAAAGCGTTAAAATGCGTACAAAAGCATAAATTTTTATGAACTTGCTTCTGCTGTGGTTCGTACACTTTCCTTATTGCCTTTTAAAATAAATCTTTATTGCTGGATTTTTGTACACGCGTACATATGTATACATATATTTCAGCTTGCCTTACATGCCCTTCTTGAGGTATTTCCGAGAGCGTGCCCAGAGAAAGGAGAGCAACGGTTTAAAGTTATCGTCATATAACTCTTATGTGAATATTTAAGTACATATGTATGCATGTATGTTTGTATGTGTGTATGATACGTGTTGTGTGTGTGTCTTATCAGCATGCGACGTACTAGAAATGTGCATTGACTTGGTAGATGCGCTTGCATGTGTGTTTAAATTGATATATATCCGTATATACCGACACACATATGCACATAAAAGACGTACTTGCTTGCTTGCCCCGGAAAGTATGCAAGTCATTCGTGTAGAAAATGCTACGATACAAAATAGCGGCCGCTGAATAATGTTCTTAACCCTGCACATTTACTTTTCTTTCGTAGATATTCATATATACATATATATTGTACTTTTTTATCTTTCTTTCTTTTTTTTTGTGTATCCTATGAAACTTGCAACTGCAACTTTGTTATTGTCTCGTTCGCTTGTGTGCATACGCCATCTTTTTTCCTACATTTACACATACACATGCCGCTGCTGCTGTGTTTGCCTTGGCGTATACTTGTCTGTTTCTCATTTTTTCTGATTTCTCCGCTTTTTACTGCTCTTTCTTATACATTCATGCTGCTACTGCCACTCCACTCGCTTGCTTCAGTCAACAATGATTTATCATTTTCAGTCTCAGTTTCATTTTTCTTTCTTCTTTCCTTCTTCTTTCATCTCTTCAAGAAAGTTCTTTTTGTATTTTGAATTGTTGTTGCTCTTTTATTACTTAGACTCCTATCATATTGCCCTCCAAAGCATAGTTGCTTCAAGTCATGGCTTTATGATGAGTAGAGCGTGCATCATTTCACATGTGGCTCGGCACCTAAAAGTATGTAATGCCTGCAAGCTGACTCAGAGTATGGATGGGTATTTGCACTAAAGCGATGTTGTATTGTAAAGAACGATATGTACTCGTATATAAAGCCTGGCTAAATCAATAAAAAGAAACAGAGTAGTGAAAATGATTCATGAAAGTATAGAAAAAAGTATAAAAGCAGATAAAAAGGTGGTAGCGCTGTTTCATCTGTGCTGGGAATACTAGCAATACTAGACAGATGAGCCAGCAGGCATATATAAATAGTATCTTAAGTTAAAATTAACTAGGGTAATACGTAATGATTTTTACCTTAATTTATACCTAGAAACATTTTTTAAGAGTTGCCACCCCTTCAAGGTTTTATTGTTCGAAAAACGAATCTGACAGCGAGACCAGAAAACATTTTTATTGCTAATTTATTGTACTTTGTTTATTTAGACATTTCGCAAACTATTTTTATACAACCTATCTGCATAAATAATAAGAATTAAAATTATGTAATTAAAATTAGTACTTTTTTTATTTATTTATTTTTTTTTTTTTTTTTTTTTTGAAATATTCTTTTCACCTTAATATATTCTTATGTATTAATATAAATTCAAAGAATTAATTTTTCAAAGACATATAAACGTTTAAAGCCCCTAACGCATCAATGTATTTGGAACTCTCCTTTAGGGTGACATTTAGTACAGTCAAATCCGCCAGCAGCATTGCATGGGCAGCAAAGACGATGAGCAAATGAAAAAAAAAATACTGCATTCGCTTGTTGAATAGTCCAAATATTGACTGCAATGTAAAAGAAATCGAGTAACTCAACTCTACACAAACTTTGTAAAATGTCGAGTGGAGGATATGTTTTGATTGCTAAGTGAAAGGATTAGTTAAGCTTCACCTTGCGCGCACACATTAACTCTCCGGTGTTAACCGACGCTACCTTATATAGAGTGCTGCAATGAATATGTATGCAACCGTATTCAGTTGATCCAGCGTAATGTACACACCTGCTGTTGCTATTTCCACGTTTCTTTGCTCTATTCTCCAATATTTACAATTCTCATTCATGTTTGCTTAGCTAAAAGCTGCAGTTAGTTAAAGTGGTATGCATAACTTATGTGCGCAACACACGAATGGAAGCAGTTGAAAGGTACATCACTGTTTGCTGTAGTTTGATTTTTTTTTCAATTTGAACCATTTTTATTTTATTAAATGCAATCTAATTAAATGAAAATAACCTATATAATGCACCCTAAACTAAAAGAAATAAAAATCAAAGAAGTTTACATATTTAAAATAAAATAAACTACAATAAGGATAAATATAACAAAATATAAAATAATTGAATGCTATAAAAAATTTCATAAAAGTATTAAATCATAAAATTAAGTAAAAACAATAACATAAAATGAATAATAATAAATATAATTAAATCAAACAACATAAAATAACATAAAATAAAATACAATAAAATAAAATAAAATAAGATTAAATAAAATAAGATTGAATAAAACAAAATAAAATAATAAAATAAAATAAAATAAAATAAAATAAAATAAAATAAAATAAAATAAAATAAAGTACATTAAAATGGAGAAAAATATAAACTAAAGAAAAAATAAATGTTAATAAGTAAAATTAAATATCAGAAAACTAAGTTTATTAATCAAAGAAAATAAAATATATTAAAAAAGATAAAAAAATTAATTAAATAAAAGAAAATTAAATTAAATAACATCATTAATTTAAATTGCATTAGATAAGAAAAAAATGTGTACTCAAAATTTAATAATGTATCATAAAAGAATAAAAAATTAAATTACGT